TCTTTTAATTTATTGAAGAATCGTACAAGGTTACTGTCGAGTTAAAACTAACCATGTAAGAATGTCTACGTTGAACACAAAAACACCCCGCTTCTTATGTAGTAGGCACGTGTTATTATATTATCCAGTACATTTTGTGTACTTCTTGCAGTTTAATTTCAGTTTTCTTTTCCCATTTTTTTCAGTGTGATGTTTTCGACCATCCTGGAAGAGGCAGACGAAGAGACAGCTAGCCGAATGGTCCCGGTTATGTTGGAGAGAATCGGCCTTCTTTATCATGTCAAAAATTATCGTAAAGAGATTCACGAGTAAGTATCCTGGATGCTTTTAACAACCTTTTTATTCTTTTTTTTTTTAACCAAGCCCTGCGATTTCCTCAGCAAACCGGTACCCCCCTCCCATCCTCTTCTCCCGCGCTTGCGCTTCAAGCAGTTTACCTTTGATGTATTCCATTTTTCTGATTACACGTTGGACTGACTTTGGTTTCATTTTAGAGCACTCAATCAAATATTAATCTATGCACTAAATATTTACACAGCCTATGACCAATCACAGTATGTTAAATGAACGCAGCGTACGAAATTTCGGCTACGATTTTAAGAAAACCTTCATTATGTTTCCGCGAAAACATTGTGTGTTCCAAATATCGTACTGATCGCCTCATTGCAAAACACTTTCCTCGTGTCTTATCGAAATTGTCGAATTTGACAGAGAACAGAAATTTTGTAAACGTTTCTGTTAAAGAAAATATAAACAACTGATTCTATAGCCGTTATTTCGCCGTTTTTCTGCTCAGCTTTAAGGAAAGAAATTTGACGTCATTCAAGAACGAGTCGACAGAGGCGAACTTAAGTGCATGGCAAAAGTTTACTTTCCGACGGTTAAAGCCGTTCATTTTACGCTGTGCATGGATGCAGAGAAATCATCATAAACAGGTTATTAAACTCTAGTTATCACATCCATGATTTTTGTTACTAGGTTGCTCTCAGAGAGATTGGTACAGTTGTTTCAAAAATACCCAAGCCTGATTGTCAGGTTTCAACAGGACATCATGGAGTTCGTCAGCGGCCTTAAGAACCTTGGGCCGTCCAAAGAGAACTTCTTCGTTCACTTGGTAAGTAGAACAAAAAGACGATAAGAAAAAGCGAACTTTAACTGATAAAGAAAGTAACTAGCCGTTCAGGGTTGGGAATCCGATAGAAAACACTCATACGTTGAATAGCGGTCGTCGTCTATCTTCTCTCTATAATATCCGTAAATCATTCTGAAAACAGGTAATTAGAATGCTCAAACTTATAGGTTGAAGTTTTTATCTTTTTCCAACACCAAATTCTCCTAACTGATATTCAAGAAAATGTGTAGCAGCTAGAGGGGAGAATCTAAATCTTGAGAGTGTTCAGATCTTGAGAGTTTAAGTGTCGAAGAGCAGTGTTTCTTGCTGCTGCCACGAAGGAGAAAGAAGAAATCCTTGACATAAATTTATTGCACTTTGATAGGTTTGGGTGATTGGCGAGTTTGCATCGTCTTCACATGAAGGTGGATGTACAGTGCTACATATCGTCCAATATTTTGAGGTATTTTCTTATTTTCTGTTTGACGACAACGTGAATAATGTTGCCTCTTTCATCTAATTATAACTTCTCAACTCTGCTTCATTTTAAAAGGCGCAACTTATTTTAACTCGGTAACTGGAAGCTTGTCTTTCTACCGTGGACTTGTTGTTTTTATTTGTTTATTTATTTATCTACTAGGCACTTGAAGCTTTGACGTATGAAGTTTTAGGGCAGAGCGGACCACGGAAGGTATTTGACATCATTAGTAGCGATGCTGTCTTTTCTAAGCTCATTATCACCCTCGTCATTGCTAAGGACTGTGCAAATGACCTGTGAAGCGTGGATGATAGTACGCCAGCTATCCTTTCCCGATAACTGCTCAACAGTTTGTTTTTCGTTTTTTAGGTGTCGTTTAGCGGAAGACTTGTCTCAGTTTTAATGACAACACTTGCCAAGGTAGGATCTGATTTATAATATAATTCGTCATTTTCCCTCGGTTGTCACTTATTTATCACTTGCTTTTGATGTCACTTTCCGGCTGTGTGATCCAAAGTGAGTGAGCGGGCACAATCTTTTTGATGATTTGTTGTAAGTTAATCGTCGGAACCAGAAATAATTACTAAAAGATAAGCTGTCTGTTGTAAAGATTACTTACTGCGGCCTTAGCTATAGGAGTGAAAGAGATTCTTGCTATAGTCTTGTTTTCTTTCTTTGTAGCTTGCTTCAAGGTGTCAGGATGTAATGCAGAGAGCTATTTTATGCTTGAGCAAAGTAGTACGGCAAAAACCTGTGAGTTGGCTTTCGTTTTGTTTTGTCTGCTACTTGTTGTGGTGGAGTGCTCGTTACCCTCTCTTGCGTTTTATTGATTTATAGTTTGACTTTACCTTATTTGTGTTTTGACAGACCTTTGCCTATTAACAAAACACGTTTCCTATTTTTAAGGAGCTTCTTTCAGACCCAGACTGCTACCCAGATCTTCTATTACGAGCGCAAGAACTTATCAATCTTCTTAAACTACCCAAGTAAGCGATTCCAATATTATTTCTCATTGCTCAACGTTTTTTTTTCCCTTTTTCTGCCCTTCTCTTACTAAAACTCTAAGGAGAATGACGCTGTGCTACGTTCGAGCCGTGACCCGCTTGTTGTGTTTGGTTCGTATTTGCAAAGGTTGCAAAGTTTGAACCTTTCTTTGCCACAGTAATACTTACCACAGTAATACTTACCTTTCTTTGCCACAGTAATACTTACCACAGTAATACTTACCTTTCTTTGCCACAGTAATACTTACCACAGTAATACTTACCTTTCTTTGCCACAGTAATACTTACCACAGTAANTGCTTGAGCAAAGTAGTACGGCAAAAACCTGTGAGTTGGCTTTCGTTTTGTTTTGTCTGCTACTTGTTGTGGTGGAGTGCTCGTTACCCTCTCTTGCGTTTTATTGATTTATAGTTTGACTTTACCTTATTTGTGTTTTGACAGACCTTTGCCTATTAACAAAACACGTTTCCTATTTTTAAGGAGCTTCTTTCAGACCCAGACTGCTACCCAGATCTTCTAGTACGAGCGCAAGAACTTATCAATCTTCTTAAACTACCCAAGTAAGCGATTCCAATATTATTTCTCATTGCTCAACGTTTTTTTTCCTTTTTCTGCCCTTCTCTTACTAAAACTCTAAGGAGAATGACGCTGTGCTACGTTCGAGCCGTGACCCGCTTGTTGTGTTTGGTTCGTATTTGCAAAGGTTGCAAAGTTTGAACCTTTCTTTGCCACAGTAATACTTACCACAGTAATACTTACCTTTCTTTGCCACAGTAATACTTACAACAGTAATACTTACCTTTCTTTGCCACAGTAATACTTACCACAGTAAAACTTACCTTTCTTTGCCACAGTAATACTTGCCACAGTAAAACTTACCTCTCTTTGCCACAGTAATACTTACCACAGTAATACTTACCTTTCTTTGCCACAGTAATACTTACCTTTCTTTGCCACAGTAATACTTACCTGGCGTTTATCTCCTCCTGTAGAGGAGCAGGGAATAGGCACTTGCGAGCCCGGGAGCAAAATACTTGAATTTCGCGTCAGTGTAGATAGCAGAGCTTGGCTCACGAAACTCTTCACTTCATGAACTAACCAGAAAAATTTTTCTACCTTATTAAATTCAGTGTGGCACCTGTGATCCTGAGCCCGGATGCAGAAGTTTACAGCGGAAGGTATGTCAGTAGAATAATTGTTGAAGCCTCTCGTCCTCGCCCAACTATTTCAAACATGAGCTTGTCTCCCATGCGGTGTCAGGCGTTTATTACACCAGTGTTTCCTGCTGTGTAGCTTTTCTTTATGTGACTTTGTTTCTTTCTTTCAGGTGGCACAGAGACCGAAACGCTTCTATACCTCTTCTGTTACGAACCTGTGACACCATTCTCTCCTCGTAAATTGAAGACTAGCATACGAACGCATGGCTTTCATAGCTAGAAGTAGAAGGTTGACTATAAGAAATATGCGAGCGTTAAAATAGTTATGGAAACTTAGTAAAGTTTTTCCCGATAAATAGTTTTTTTTTTTAAGAATTCAGTAGAGGGCTTACAAAGTTCATAAACTGATCTTGGAATTGTGTAATCCAAATATGACAACACATTACCTGATTCTTGATGTTTATAAGCTTCATGAACTACTTTTCTCAGCTTTCATTTTTCATCAATCGTACGCGTGGAAATCATGATCATAGAATTGGTGTCTTCCCCTCCCCCATAAATGAGTTAAGGTCAAAAGTCAAAGGTATAGACAAGCAGATAACTACAATGTTTCAATGACTTGGTAAAAATAATTTATTTTCTTCTCTCCATTTTTTACGAATGCGCAGAACATAGTCATTTTATTTAATTTGACCTACAGAGAGTTAAAAAAAAAAGAAAGTATGTTATAATTTCTAAGAAATTCATTTGAAAAAAATGTGAATTAATTTGTACAGAATATGCGAAGAGAAGTTATGTGGTCAATGTGTACAACGATCCGATTCAACACTTTTAATCTACCTGATTCGTCTTTTATAGAAGTAAATTCTACCTTTTACATAAATTTCGGAATTGCTTGCCACATAACCCTAGCCGTGTAATAATAAAAATAGTTAAGTAACGGTGGCACTGCTAATGATGATAAAGATATTAATAGTGGTAATGATATCACTAACTGAGCCTTGCTTAGATTCCAGCTGCCCCACAGATTCTTCCACACGCCAAAACAGTACCCCTTTTTTCCTGAGTCATTTCTAGTTTTCTTGTTAATGTTACCGTTATAATACCATTGGGATTCGTATCAGACGATGTATTTTATGAGAGCGACACTTTTTAACCAAATGATTTGATATTTCGGCCTTTAATCCATGGTATAGTGACTGTAGTGTAGCTAAGTTTTTATTCGGGAGCAGATTATCGATCTCCAAAGAGGAATCTTTAAGACAGCACTTGAAATATTTCACTCGGCAGCCATTGGTTGTCACGCGACTTTGTTTAAGTGAGAATTTTTATGATGTCCCAGGCCCTTATTTGGCAAGTGACCCGGGTGATGTGGACTTAATTTAGGTCCATCTCCCTGACCCCCGGGCCCTCCGGGCAGAGCTTCTAAAATAACAGCCGCTGATAAGAAAACAACATAGGTTAACAAAAGAATACCTCCCGAACGTTTATCCAATCTCCAACTATTTCGATGTATCACTAGTAATGTCGCTAAAACTGTGCCAAACAGGCACAAAGACGTATAAACTACATGTCCACTGTGAATTAAAACGACGCTGTTTGGATGAACAACAGTTGTGGCTAAAAACCATGGAAGACCCAAGCAGAGGACGTCAAAAATATTACTGCCAACACAGTTAGCCAATGCCATGTCTCCCATTCCGTGTTTAGCGACCACAAGACTTGCTATGGCATCTGGGACACTAGAACCAGCTGCCAATAATGTCAATCCCATGATGCATTCTGGTATATCAAAAGTCTCGCCTATGATTGACACAGTCCATACGAGTACGTACGATATGAGAGCCATCCATAGGATGGATACTACGAACGTGACTGGATACCAGTTCTCCCAACCTTTCTTGCGACAGTCGGGCATTGTGAGAAAGAAAAGGATGTGGACTGGTAACATAATCACCCAGATCACTAATTTAAAAGAACTTTTAGGAATTTCGAACGGGGATTTTGCCGAGAAACCGTGAGCTTGAGAAGACGAGCTAGCGGGATCACTTATTTCCTTGCCTTCGCTGTCATTTTCTTCATTTTCTTTCATTCTTTTGTCGCTGTTAATTTCTTTGTCTCCTAAATCCTCTTCCCTGGATTTTTCCAGGGCCTCTTGACCATTGCCTTTTCCTATGTCGTTTTCCCGGGGGTCCTCCATCGGGACCATTTCAAATCCCTTCTGTAACTGGCAAAACTTTTTGCAAACTCTCTCGAACAAACCTTCGAGTTTCTTATTGAAGCACATAATTATGATATAACCAAAATATAAGAATGGAAACACCAAGGCTTCGTACCAGTGAATTATGTTATCTTCTATAACAATTAACAAAGCGGTCAGATGTACAGTGTACGCCACAGAATCCCTCAAAAGCGGCCACATGCGAAGAGCTATAGAAATACCAGAGCACAGCCCACAAATGGCCGATATGAAGAGAATATTGAACATAGTGGAACCAATAATGGTGCCCAGGCCTATATCACCCTCACCCATGAATACGGACGCGATTGCGATGAACAGCGTGGGCATGGAACTACCAGCAGCCATGAATGTCGCGCCTGCAACGTCTGTCGGGATACGTAACCTAAAGCGGGTAAAAATGTATTTTGAAGATCACTATAACGAGAACTTGACTTCCACAGCTCAGTAAATTTGTTTTTCCCAAATTAACGCAGACGATTTTATTTTATTTTTTGGAACTTTTTACAGTTAATCTGTGAACTCTAGAAACAAAAAAAGTGTGGTAACATTAGCAGTTAATTAATTTCTGACAGCCTTTCCCTCAAAGATTCCAGTAGCTTGCCGGCTCTAAAGATGTCAAAAAGGATCAAATGCACCAATAATGCTAAAACGTATCCCTTTCGTTCATCTCTAAAAACCGAAAATGACTTAGTTTATTACTCACTGTTTGCATAGTTTTTCAAGTGAAGCACAAAAATAATGATCACATAACACTGCGAGTGCTCCAAAGCAGTACAAGCAGACCAGGGTGTGTAGAACAACGGCTCCTTCTCGCCTCTGCTGCAGTGAGAACAGCGTTTCATACTGCAGCACATTGATAATCTTATGGCTGCTACAGTTGAAGAAGTGCCGTTTAACGTGACGAATATGACGAAGGACGCTGAGTTTCCTGGGAAGTCGATCCATGGTTGTGGTTTTATCCTGTCATCTGTTCCCAGGAACAAGCTACACCTGAAATGAAAACAGTTTTGAAAGATAACAGATCATGATTAATACCTTGGTCTATCTCTGAGTAGTTCCTGCCGTTACTGTCCACTCGATCAGCTGTGGTTTAAACTTTCTACCAATTTTAAGGAAAGTCAAGAGAAATAGATAATATCATAAGCTTGCTCGTATTTCGCAGTACCTGACGTTCAACTCGGGTTTTGAGCTTCTTACAGATTTTCTAGCTTTGCGGGTGTTTTTTTTTTTTTCATCGCTTTCGACAAATGAGCTGCTAAGTTGTGCTGAGTTACGTTAATTTCCGACAAAAAGTTTAAATCGTAGGCGATCATGAGTCGATAAACGCCCAGGGATCGTCAAAATCATAAGCCTTACATGTGAATCCCTCCTTCCTTCCAACATGGTAACATGGTAACATGGTAACATGGTAACATGGTAACATGGTAACATGGTAACATGGTAACATGGTAACATGGTAACATGGTTGGAGGTTCATGGTGGGAAAAGATAACAGAATACTCCGCCACCAAATGAGCAGTTAGTTTATTAACACATATCAAAATCTCCTCGATTTCCGCCACTGAGCCGTACATGTTAGACCTACTGCTAGCAAGGGTAATTTCAAAACCTATATTTTTCGCTTAGCAGCAAGGCAGCACCTCGATAAATGTAGCAATACCAAGAAAAATCAAGTACATAACAAGGAAAAGAACGCCTAGTTTTTCGTCTAACCGCCATTTGTTCAGAGCTATCAGTAACACTGTACAAATGATACTAGCTATTAAAATCCCTGAAGTAAAAAATATGTTCTCGCTTTGAATGTGAACTGCACTGTTTGGAGTGATTATAGTAGTTTTGATCATCCAAGGAATTCCAAGACATAGCATGTCGAAAACATTGCTGCCAATACAGTTTGATACAGCCATGTCTCCGCTTCCTTGTTTGGCGACCACCAAGCTAGCAATGGCGTCTGGGAGACTGCTGCCTGCAGCAAGGAATGTCATGCCCATGACACATTCTGGGATATTGTAAGTGAATCCTACAAGAGATACCATCCATACTAAAATGTATGACAACCCACCCATCCAGAAGGCCGAAACTGTAAACGTTACTAGGTAAAATTTTCGCCATTCCTTCTTACGGCAATCTGGAATTGTTATATAAAATAAAAATATAGAAGGTAATGTGAAAATCCAAACTATTCTTGAGAAAAATCCTTCTGGTGCTTTAAAACGTTTTCCTTCCTCGTGGGAGGAATTGCTTTCTAAAGTTTCAGCTTCATTATCCTGAACTTCCTCATCAATTTCAGAATCTGCTTCGGCGTTCGGTTTTATCATCCGATCTTTCATTTTCATGGACCATTCTTCGATATTTGTGTTGAAATACATCACTACAATGTAAACAAAATAGGAGATGAAAAAGGCGGCGCTTTCGTACCAATGAACTTTCCGATCGTAAATCGAAATCATTAAAATGATTACACTAATTATATACATGGTAGAATCTCTAAAAAGCGGATACCAGCTCAAACGCATCGTCAAACCAGCACCAATACCACACAAGGCTATGATGAAAAGTGTGTTGAATATAGTGGAGCCAACTATTGTTCCGAGGCCAATGTCTCCTTCCGTGAAAAATGTCGATATTATTGAGATGAAGAGTGTCGGTGCAGAACTTCCCACAGCCATGAAGGTAGCACCGGCCACATCTGGTTTGAGACCCAAACATTTGGTTATTCGGTTCAGCGATGCCACGAAGTAGTCGTCGCAGACAACAGTCAGAGCGCAAAAGATATGGAGGCAGACTAGAAGATGAAACGCAACTCCTCCGTAAAATCTCTGCTCTTGGTTGAACAGATCAGGAGGGAACTCTTCAATTCTTGGAGGCCTACAGGATCTTATTTCACAATTCTCGTTAGCGATGAGCGATAGAGAGCTATCATGGTACAGTAGATCCATATCTTACTGGTTAGATCGCGGTAACCATATCATACTTCACTGGGATGTGTATCGGTTAGAGCTTGTTGGGTGGAATCACGAAAAGTAATCTCGTTTACACTTGGAACATTGTTGTCTGCCAACTCACCATTAGCCTGCAGGCTTGACCTTAATTTGTCACGCCCCGCTTAGAATAATCATCGTATCAAACATTGTTGACCTCAACTTTCACTCGAAGTTCAATTTCTGATTTCAATGCCCCGAGAAAAAAAATCGATCTCTCAGGAAAGCTCGTTGCTGAAAGCATTAACGAATAGCCTCGAGCTCCACTCAAGAAAACTGTTCTGTCCTTCAGAAAATTCTAGCGACGAATCGAGGGAGAAAATGAACGTATAAATCACGACCATATAATAATAATGATAAGATAGCGACTTTTTCCGATTGACACCTTCCAACAACATTCCCAGAAGATGACCGATTGATCACGTTAACAGGTGGCCAAACGGGTGTGTTGAAAGATAATTGGTTAATGCCCTGTACTTGTTGAATTAAATCCACCCAAGAAAATTTGTCGCCTTTACATGAATAGTCATTTTAGCTCAATAATGCTCATCTGATTATTCTTCTCCATTATTATCTGTCTTTACTTTTCTGAACACTCATGATATAAACTTTTTTATATTCTCTTGCAATCTGTGCTCACCTGCTCGTTATAAAAGAAATTACTTTTCAAGTGGCCGTGATTAATTTCTGCCTGAGTGTTTTATGTTTTAATCACGTTTAGCACTCTCTCTATGACTCAGTTATTTTGAAAATAGTTAATCTTAAAATCAAAGTTGCACGTTTTCTTTTGCTCAGTGAACTTTAGACCTAACTTTCGTTGAAGAAATAGTGTTTCGCTTTTTGGATTTATCTTGGCTAAGAGCTTTAAATAAGTTCATTTCGTATAGATCCAAAAAATATTTTAGTATTTCATCAATACAAACAGCCACAAGTAGAGCTCCTTCAGGTATCAAAAGGACTCTAGGTCCCCAAGATATTACAGCGCCTCAATCATTTAAGCTTTATTATGCTTTGAGACGATTGATTAATTGAATCAAGCAGGTCATTGAATGAAGGTTGTATTCTTTATTTTAAACAATGAAGGGGTGGATCTTTTGTTAAACGGACGTTCCTGGACTGTAAAGAAAATTTCAGTTGAGAAACTCTTAGAAATTATAGACTGAAACTTAACCGCAACACAATTTTGAACATTGCCTGGGTAAAAAAAGCATTTTTTTTCTCCTACGTCGGGTTACACTTTCCACAGGTTTACCGGCGTGTTCACCCACGCGGGGTGTTATGAGAACACCAGAAACGTTTGCGAGATGTGATCAAATTTTGACCAATCAGAGCGGGCGTAGAGCATAGTTATGTTCTAATCAAACATAAATATACACTGATCACCGAAATACGACGAAATCAGGCAAACGAAATCACGCAAATTAGTGACAGTATATTAGCTCGTATTTAACCCAAAGTTTGACTGCATGAAATCAAAGGAAACGCATATCAATAGTCTTATTTTATATTCTACAGAGGACGCCTTATGTCGTGTCTGTAATCTTATACAAGATAAAATTCTACTGAGACAATCCCTCTCAGGTGTGACTTCCAACTTAAGAAAAGTGCGACCAAAATAAAAACAAAAATTAGGTCTTTTTTCTTTTAATGAAAAAATTTTTTTCTTTAAAAAATAAACTTTGATATCGATAGCTATCTCACGACGTCAAATTGTATCGTTTATGTGCCTCAGATAAAATTCTGCGTATATAGAATGTTTCCTTTTTAACTTCGAAAGTATTCCGAACGTTGGACTCGCAGCTGTGAAAGGTTTTCCAACCGCTTTTCACTAACGGAGGGAGACGCCAATGTTTTTGGGCAAGTGCGCTGGACTCACGATCCACATCTGCGGGCTCGAGCCCAAGCCGAGTAGTGTTTTTTAGCGAGCTTCTCTAATCTTACAGTGCCTTTCTCCATCCAGGAGTTAAAAATGGTTTCCCGTAGCAGATAATCAACGATGAATCAGCACTGATCCCGTCTATGAAGATTACTGATTTTTTTGTCGCTACACGCGGTAGAAGCTTGGGTCATTACCCAGTGTTACAGTTATTGGCAGTTCAGTATCAAGCTGATGTATTTGACAAGAACCGTTCTCTTTTGCCGTTGACTTTGAAAATGGCTTTAATTGCCCGTGAAAACAACCCGAAAAATCAAGACTGATATAACCCATTAAACTCTGTTGGGAGATAAATTAGAAATCGCTGCCTCTAAACATCTTACCTGTTGTTAAATTTCTACAAAGTCATAAAACTGCTCGTTTGATGGTATACTCGACAGCGCAGGGAAGATAAATATCATGGAAAATATATATGACAATGGCACCTTTCACCCGCTGAGAAAAAAATAACAAGATCAACAGCTCATGACTATGAGTGATGTCAACTTGAACAGTGTCGCTTACCTACATCAACAGGCGGTCGGACTTCTCTCTCTAAAATACTCTCTTAATTTAATTTTGTGTTGAGGAATCCTTTTTCTTGAGGAAGAGTCTTTTAGGGTCAATGTGCGTTCAGTCTAATGAGGAGGTAAATGGTAAAGCTTCAGATCAGTTTACTCTGATATCTCTTTCAGTGGCTGCTTGGAGTTCTGGCGATGTACCTGCGCGTTACAGGTGTCTCAAGGGTAATGAATGAAAACACTTGAAAACACAACGTTAGGATTAGCCACCAGGCCTCTTAGCGCACCAACAGCCTGGCGTGTCATCTAGCATGGAGCTCTTTGAACGAGAGTTTTGAATCAGAAACTTTTAAGTTGCTTTTTAGTTTCGGAGGCTAGAAATCAAACCACTCTTTGTACCAAGTTTCTTTTTTACCCAACGTTTCAACTGTGACTTTCATAGAAAATCCCCTTTATATACTTGCTTTTCCAAAGATGAACCCCTTTGCAACTTTTGAGCGCTTTCGAATCAGTCTCCAGACTTCCTTTTGCGCGTCAAGATATTTGGGTTCGTTTGGAGAACTTATACGAAGGCTCTAATTTTTTTTTTTTTTTTCATATTTTGAGTGGGCGAGATAACACCATTTAAGTTATAAAAGTAGATATAATTTTAGCATGTGTAGATAAAAAATTGCACATTAATGCCGTTTTGTAGATGGCAAAACTATGGTTGCGGGCGAGGTCTTAGTAAATGCGACTTTACAGAGCTGAAAATAAGTTTTTTTTAAAAAAAAAATCGTTGAAAAAATGATCACAAACTAAACGTTAATACCGAAAAAAATGTCCTACTATCGGACCTTTCGCGCTCTGGTCATGCTTTAGTCACGCCCTAAAAACCTTACGACCTGACGATATTCATCAGTTTTGATGCGTCTCTCTTCCTCTTGTCTCTAATCAATATGATTAAAGTGAGCCGTGTGAAGACAGCGCTTTAGTTCATCGTTTGGTTTTACTTCAAACTGCTCAATAACTCTTTGTATTTTAGAATTTCCACTTTTTTCCACCAAATGATCTGCTAAAGGATTTTTGGTTTCTGTTACAGCATTTCCAATTTCTCCAGGCTTCTTTTCAGGTGTTATCTCTTTGTCCTCTTGGACTTCTGTGGCCCTTTCTTTTTCTGCCCCGCTGTCTTCGCCCTGTAAAAAAGGTGATGTAGAGTGTAGATGCGATGTGTTATTGCCTTCGCTTGTAGCAGGGCTTGTGGGATTTTTTGTCGACACTTGCTCGCCAGTTCGCTTTTTGCGTCTTCGTTTGGCCTTCTTTTTTGGTCTCTTTTCAGCCGGGTCTTTTGTTTCTGTATACATGGGAGCACATATTCCCTCTGATCTTTGATCTGTTGATCCCATTTCAGGCAGGTCCATCTTATCTGTATGCAGGGGAGCACAACTTCCTTCTGATCCTTGACCTTTTGGTCCCATTTCTGGAAGATCCATGATATCTTCACATAGATGAGCACAACTTTTGTCCGATATTTGTGCTGCTATCTGAGCTTTAGAAAAGTTTTCTTCTGAATTACTTGGAGATTTTCCGCTTTTTAAATTTCCATCAGTATCTTTTCCTCTGGATGCTTGGCTTACTTCATGAGGTCTTTGATTAATCAAACACCGACTACTGCAGAGGCCCGCGGCAAATTTACATTTATCAAAATCTGTTTCAGCTATTTTCGCGTTGACTATAGTGTCGGACACAACTCTTCTGACACATAAAAGCTGAGTGTCAAGGCGCCCACATTCATCTCCATCGTCAGATACGACCAACTGTCCATCGTTGAGCTGGCATTCTCGGCAATATTCTTCCACCTTGTCGGCGGAATGCCCGATTTTGTATTCCAATCCCTCTAAAAACGCTTGGACTCGTTCTACTTGGGATTCGTTTGCATCTTCTTGGTCGCTAACATTTGACCAATAATCATGTATGGGGTCATTAGGTGTAACAAGCTGATTTCTGTTCGCAACTTCTTGATTAGGATACAGATAGTCGACTTGAACTTGATCAATGTTAATAAGAATACTTTCTGGAATCTTAAAGTCCACTGAGCCATCCTCATGGCTGAGTTCTCCAAGAAGGGTTGCGTCTTGGTCGTTCCAACGATTTATCCAATAGTTAACTTTCTCGGGTAGTTTTGAATGGAGATGTTTAAACAGCTTGTAGATTCCCCAGGGAGCCAGGATTGGGAGGAATAGTGTCCCAACAAAAACACCTAAGCCAATGGCAGAGTATTTACCACTTCTTCGTCCGGTCGTCCATTTCTGTGCAAGGAGAAGAGGAGGGCTGACTACGCCAGCTACTGTTGGAGTAAAATTTGTCGCGTTTCAGATAAATGTGTGTTATTTTGATTATGATAAAATTAATTTTGCCACTGAAAAAAAATCGCGCAACTATTATTGCTCGTGCTTCTGGTTTTTCGACATTCTGGTAAATTACGCTTCAGTTAATTAAAGAAGAGAATTTTTAAATTAGCATTTGAAAGTACAAGAAAAAAGGTTCTTTTTTTGAAGACAAAGTTTCTCACCAGCAATGATAGGTATGAAAATCACCCCACCTACACCATAGGTGCATGCCATCTTTACCCATTCCCATCCGGGTTTCCATCTCTTTTCAGGATTCTCTTCGACTTGATGGAGAGTTTCTCCATCGATTTGCAGCCAAACTGGGCCTCCGTTGACATCATCGCTCAAAGTCAAGCTGACATCTGCGCATTTCAAAGGTTTCTCGTCAGTTTTGGAATCCTGCTGATTTTGTTGCTCAAGTGTCAGCGAATCATTTGTGTTTGGTGAAACTGGCGTTGCCGAGCAAATCGCGCTTTCCTCCGTCGCTGTTCCGTTGTCTTCTGTGATATGTTCAAATGCAACCGGGGATCTGTCAGTCTCCATGCTAGACCGATATTTTCTTCAATCTCTAGATCACCACCAAAAGCTTTCATTAATAAGAACGTTGATAATTCAGGTGAGCTATCCGTTAACCTAATCTGTTAAGTTTTCAAAACAGAGTTCGTTACTTTTAGTGATGGCGTGTGTGGTGAGACGAAAGCGAAAGTTTCGTAGAATGAAAATTAATTATTTGAAATCGTCAATTGTAACTGAAACTAATGGAGAATATGGAAGAGAGGTAATATCCAGATACAGAGCAGAATAACTTTTCTCTGACTTTGTTCAATGTATAATTCTGAAAACTTAAAAAAAATTGCGAATAGCGACTAGTTTTCTAGGTAAACTCTTTATCAACCTCTATAGGCTGTTTGGAAAAACTAACCCGAGTTCGACGACCGTTCTTTATCGTCTACTATCCTTGTATTTCACTGCCTTCTACTGTGAAGAAGACTTAAATCTTCAAATAGGTAGCATAAATAGTGCTTTCCGTGACAGCAAGATTCATGCGCGCGGGTGCGACACATTTGCGCGAAGTATTTACTCTGTGGCCGTTCACCTTTAAACCGCGCACGGTATCGTATGTAACCGGCAGTCAGAAATGTTCTCAGAATTTTCTCTGAAATGCTCTTTCAAACTTCTTAGGAACATCAAATGCTTTTGAACGTTGAGCGATTCCAAAATTCATGCTAATTCTTTTCTAGTTGACGATCTATCCTAACTCGAGCACACTATTTCATTCGTCATTGAAAAAAAACCTTAGGAGAAGATAAGTATCAGATGAATAAAGAGGATGAGTTTCTAAAGCGACTATGTTGCTGTGTCGGTGGGAGAGTATAACAAGGAAATTTTGGTTTTGTTAGCTGAGTTAATGATGTAAATTGTCCACCGTAAAGAGTTTCAAAGTTGACGTTTTGGGCGTTAGCTCTCGTTAGGGCGAATGACGCTCTGACGAAGGGCTGACGCTCGAAACGTCAGCTTTTGTTGCGGGAAAATTTAGTAATTTTCCGTGTGTTTTGGAGCATATTTATTCATTACTTTTGGATATTTTAGCGTTCTCAATGCATTCGAGTATCTTTCGTTGTGATGTTTTACAAAGATGAAACGCCACAGTAGTGTTTGGGATAGGTAAGTTGTTGTAGTTCAATTTTATACTTGGTTTAAATTTTATTTTCCTTTGTTCCCGGTTATGTTAATGTATAATAATGAGTTTGAAACAAAGGAAAATAAAATTTGAACCAAGGATAAAATTGAACTACATCATAGTCAACTAATAGATTTTCCTTTGTCGCTTGCCTTCATTGTACACCTGCATGTCGGTACTTTTATTGACCATTACTATTGAAATTGTAGGTAAATTTGGTAAATTTTGGTAAATTTGTTCTCTCTGAAAAATTGGTCCTCATCGTAGTCGGCAGCTGAGTTTGTGCTCGTAATTTCTCTCTCCTTTTATTGGATAATTCTCCACACTTAACACCCACATTTCTTAGATAGGTAGAATTTTCAATTACTTATCACTTTTATTTCCAAAGCGCTCTACCGTAGTTAAGATAGGTGTTTTTAAGTTTGCTCTTTAAGGCCTAGAGTCTATTGTATCCGCTTTCTTAGTTTTGAAATTCTTTCCATCGTGAAAATATATGGAATATTTAAATAGAGTCGCTTCACTTCAAAAAGACACTTTTCCGGTCTTTTGTGCACTCATTACTTATTGATTCAATATACTTTCGTTTAAATTGTCAACCATAGGTTATATGTTAAGGGCATTAATTTATTAAATCAAAAACAACAAAATATGGTCTTGAGTGCATCTGATATCAAGCAGCAAGAACTTGGAATTCGCTCCCAGAAAGCATGAGAACAATTACATCATTTAAGGATTTTAAGATACCCATAAGGAAAATGAACTTTTAGTGGTAATTTTTTTTATTATTGTATTGGTAGTACGGTAGTTCCATTTATAATTTAACAGACTTACGTATTTTTCTTTCTCGAAGATATTAGCTCCACAGAGCTACTCTGAAAATTCGAGTCAAAATAAAGTATATGTATGCATGGATAGTTTTTTCCTACTATCTTATTATAAGACACAGAGTACCACTTCAAAAGACTTTCAGTTCAGATTACGTTACTATAAAACAGTGCGACTGCATTAGCTCTGCCTGTTCTTACTGACTTTGCATAACAGGAGAATGACTTTGCAGGAATGCATTTGTCCTAACCTGAGTAAGAAATTGTTAACGTGCTGTATAAAATATCTCATTTTCATAATAAAAATTGTTGGAGAGTCAACGGTATTGGCAGTTCATGTACTTTCTTGAGACCTTTAGTTCCTAGGGTTCCTCTGAGTGACCAGCAACTTAACTGGAGCAAGCTTGATGGTTTAGCTGTGCATCAGAAAAAGAGTTGTTGATTAATAATAATAATAATAATAATAATAATAATAATAACCAACATGTGGGACATGCCAGTCAATACTGATAGAACTATAACAGCGAACAGACCAGATATCATTGTTAAAGATTCAGTGAATTCCACCTGCAAACTGATTGATATGACTGTTCCATCAGATAGAAACATTGCACTGAAGGAGACTGAAAAAAAAAAGCAAGTACAAAGACCTAGAACTTGAAATACAGGGAATGTGGCATGTGAAAACTGTAGTGATCCCTGTGGTTGTTGGTGCGCTAGGTACAGTGAAGAAGGGTATGGTAGAAAACAACAAGAAAGGATCAGAGAGAGCTACTATGACAGAGACTCAAAAGATCTGCATGCTGGGATCGGCGCAAATTCTCTGAAAGGTGCTCAGTGTATGAACAGCATGATTGACGTAAGTGACTGACGCTTTAGGTGCATGGTTTGCGCCCGGCCGATGCACAAAAAGAACACCAGCAAAGACTGTGATAAAAGAGATAATAATAATAATAATAATAATAATAATAATAATAATTGAACTAGACAGGTAGTCAGTATATTCTATCAAAGAGGTCCTTCTCTGTGGTTTCTGTATGAGAATTGTGCAACTGATGGAGGAAGGAGCAGTATGATGATATCCTCTTCTATGGGAAGATTTGCAAACAACTAAGTGAAACCATTATAACAATTTATTCAGATGGACACAAAAAATAGCAGGTTGAAAAGGAAGACAGTGAGGCTAACTCTACCATGTAAAAAAAAAATTGTCTAAAATATATGCAATAAGTAATTGGATACCAAAGTTTTAAAACCCACCTTCTTGTTCTTGAAGAAGTTTTTCACATTCTGGGTATTTCTGAGCCCTGTCTCGAGCTGTCTGACCACACTTGTCTTTTTTGAACACATTCGCACCATATTTTAGTAAAAGTTTTACATTTTCCACTTTGCCAAGTTGTGAACAGTAGTGCAAGGATGTTGCATGGTTCCAACTTCTAGAAGAAATATTTACTGCTGCTCCCATTTGAACAAGCATCTAAATGACATTGGGAAGAGTAATCATTCTTCTGTTACTTGTACACCAATAAATGTTAATAGGATACATTACACCATCCTTCCCAGGGTCTAAAATGCCTGTGATCGGTTCTAGTCGCTACATATAGTAACTGCTTTGTTAAAAATATTCCACATATAAACTGAAAAGTTTCAACGTAAGTTGTTCAAAAAACCTTTGCACAAAATTTGCAACCTTTTCCTCTAAAATGTCTCAAGTGGCAGTTTTGCAATGTCTTCATACATGACTGTCTTAGTAAGGTCTACACCTAAATTTTTCCTTAACCAAAGAGTTTTATGGAGTCCTGCACAGATGCTTTTCCTATGTGTGGAGTAAGTTGTAAAGTATCAAAATTTCGCTATCTAGTGATACTGGCACCATGATGGACTTCTGTACTGTTCTTCCATACCTGATATTTATATGAGTTACAAAGAATGAACCTAAAGGATTTGATATGAAGCCTTTGTGCAACAATTGAATAGTATCATCAAGTAAAAGGAAATGCATGTAATTTGCCTCATGGATCAGTACCATCAATGTAACTATTACCAATTTAATGATACCAGGAATTGCATATACCTTGACTGTACTGTGACCATCTGGTGCATTTATACAGGCATGGTGCAAAGGGGTACAACCACTCTGATCTATAGCATCCAACTCACATTCTGTGTTTGCCTTAGATGAATGAATACAAGGTAAACTTCAAGTCTCAAGTCTGAACACAAGAAATCAGCAATTGGAAAACGTCATTACTAAGCGATCTTAATAAATGCTTCTTAAAAATGTCAAAGTAGGTTTGATTGCTTAGTATTTGAAATGAAATGCTTTTTATCAAGTAATTCAAACCAAAATTGAACTTGCAGGTGGATTCCATATCTGCAAAACTTTTTGTTTAGTTTTTAGTTTTATTCTTTTAAACATTTTAATCAGTAGCTATTGTTATTTCAGTATTTAAGCCTCTCAAACTTATCATTCTTTTTTATTTGATAGTGGTGTTATGGTAACCTCAAAATGTTGTCAACAAACTTTCTTTAGCCTTTTTAAAAATGTATATTAATGGTTCTATAAGTATTTTATCCCAATTTTTTATTGTCAAAATTTCAAGTTGTAAGGAACATTTTACTCAGAGCAAGATACCAAGCTGTTGATAGATCAAGCAATGCCTTAGGTGATCAAATGACAAGCCAGGATCCCTTGCGATAAAAAAAAAAAAAAAACATTTCACATAAAACTAACCATAGAATTTAGGATTATAATAATCAAATAAAGGCCTGGGCTCTGACTGCTAAATGATCTCAAAGTAGAGTGGCAAAGTAGCAGGGGGCTGCTCTCAAGCCCCTCCTGAGTGCAGTCAGCGGCAGCCCCCCTGCTACTTTGCCAATATATGTTGTGATAATCAAGCTGTCAGTCAGAGTTCAGTATTTGATTATTGTTCATCATTCGAAGTCACTGCACTTACCAAAAGTTCTACACAGCTCTCGTGAACTTCTGAACAAGCAATATGCATTGGATTTTGTCCGCGATTGTTCTTAACATTAACGTTGCTACCAGCTTCTATTAGAATCTTGAGACAGTCTGCCTTTCCTTCACGTGCCGCAATTAACAAAGGCGTTTCAGGAAACTTTGTATTGAGATCGGCACCTGCCTTCACCAGTCTATCCACGCAGTTTTTATGACCGGCGTAAGTCGCTACCCACAGCGGCGTTAGGGCTGTGTTACCAAGCCCAATGCCATTTACCTTTGCTCCAGCTTCTAGTAACAATCTCAGACATTCATCGTGTCCTTCTTTCGCTGCCAGAAACAAAGCTGTAACAGCAGAACTATTTGGACAGTCTACTTGGACGTCTTTGTCGGAAAGAACGGCTTGTAACTTATCAACTTGCCCATTTTCGGCGGCATATAATAATTGTGCTTCCTTGGGCTTTCGTTCGATGTTTTTCTCGACATCGTTTATGTTTCCCATTAAATAAAATTTGTTACCTACTGCGGTTAGAACACCTAGCCTCTATGCGACAATGTTTATTTATTTCCTGACCGCCCTGCTTCATGGGAATGTAACGAAAATTTCTCATCCAGGGGAGGGAGGAATCAGAATTTGTCGTTGAAACTTACTCGTTCGTTCCTCAAAAGTTCTCGGTTTTGATTCTCAAAAAAAGGTTTATGATATCAGAGGGAAAATGTGGGTTTGAGGGGGTAAAAAGAGAAATTATTGACTAGAGTGGAAGAGCGATATTCTGTGCATCCGTTTTGCGCAAAAGCTCAAAATGGCGGCCATAGGAACCGCGGTAAACATTACGTTTCCATAGTAACCCTGCGCAAGGAGTCAATGTAGATTTCGAGTAAAGACGAACTGAGGGCCCACGAAGCCGCGAGTTTTCCAGAAATTTAGCAGTTTGGAGGGTTAAAATCCGACCAAAATGTGTGCAAATACGATACAAGTAATATTCATGGAAAAGTATTTTTGATCTCCAGGCCTCAAAAGATACTGTACATTTGTAAATACGTTTAACGCAGACACAACAAGTCAAGCTACAGAAGGAATATGGAGTTCAACGACGTTCGTTTTGAGTTCATCTCAGAATACACCTCAAAATCTATGAAACTGAAAGCAGACAAATGGGCTAAGTTACAAGGAAACGATGAATATAGACAAACTGTTTTGGACTTCTTTGAAAAGCCAGAGCATAATATTCTTGTCATATATCAGAATAATGCAGGACAGCTTCAACCAACGTTTGATTTTCCCTCGGCGATGAAGACAAAAGCTGTCTATTTCTCCAAGAAGGAGAAAGGCATAAATGTTGGAAAAGATAATTACAAGACAGCTTTAACGTACGGAGATTTGTCTTATTCGCCCTTGGAACAATTGTCAGCGCTTGTAGACGAGGTTTGTTTTGCAAACTTTGGAAGAGATTACTTTTGTAGTTTAATTAATCGATCCCTGGGAACGTTGAAACTTAATTTATTCACTCACAGGTTTCTTTTCAGACAGCTTTCGCGTGATTGAAAGGTTTTGAACCTTTTTTTTTTTTTTAATTTAAACTGGCTTTAAGGAACTATAATGTCGTAACTTTGCATGCACAATGAAAGATCCTAGCCCATTTTAGACTTCTGTTTGAGCGCCACAGTTGTTAATGATTAAACAAGACAGATTGCACGTCTTGCTCAAAACAGATACATTACAGCTTATTTATTGTTTGTATGTGTAGTTTCATTTTACTATCCTAGGCATAAATAAATAGTTTAGCGCCAGAAATTTTCCAGATTTCTACATCGTGAAAATGTCTCGATTGTAGTCATTATGTAAACTGCGCAATAACTTTGACCAACCGTGAGCGTAAAATTTACTCTTATATAACATATAACTTTGGAAACAAACAATTGTTTACATGAGTATGGAACTAAGGAAGAAAGAAAGTGTTTATTTTGACCCTTTTATAGCATATCGCAGAGGAAAACTATGGTCAGTAAACGTTTTTGGCCGGGTCTGCTGCTAATCTGTAATGAGTTATATAAATCCCTGGAGGATATCACTTGAATCAGGATTAATTTCATTGTTTTCTTTGGATGAGAAAATTTCTCTTATTAATCAAATGTTTTCTCTTTGAATGTTTACAGATTCTGGTCCCTTTGCTGTCCAATTCGCGTAATCATGAACAGTGGCCTGCAGTTGTATCTCAAGATGTCTTACGACATGTTCATCAGCTCAAAAGTAATGTCTTCGTCATTGCTGGACAAGTGAAAGGAAAGACATTATTACCACTTCCAGTAGGCTCAGAGCAGGTCTCTGATGCTGTGGAAGCTGAAGATAAGTAAGTCTATGGATAAAGTAACTTTATTGTTGATAAACATTTGGTATTTTGTTGACTACAAATTTGTTGGCTCCTTTCAGATATATTTTGAAATTAGAAAGCACACAGATAATGCTTTTTTTTTACCCCATTGCATCAAACATAGGTGTGTTTTTTGATCAAGCAAGCAAAATTAAAGTAGCAAACTGTGAATAAAAAAACATACTGAATTATTCTTAATGTATTTAGCTTCCCCCTCCCCACCCTCTTCCTCTTCATACGTCCCTTCTTAACTCCACCAAAGTGGTGGTTAAGTTGTTTGTTAGGATTTCAGTAGTGGATCACTTTAATTCCCAGAAGAGATAAGCAAGTTCGCAGTGATCCACTGTGTTTATAGATCCAATCTTCTGTCAACTGGAGCCTAATAATTATGTAACTCACTATTTTGTTGCTTTGTCTTTTTTTAACTAGGGGTGAACCATTTGACCGTGGTTTGGTTCACTCTATTGAATCAGTAATCATTGAATGGACACATCAGGTACAGAGTGTTCTTAAAAGAAATTCAGCTCAGCCCCTGTTAGAAGGTCACAATCCTGGACCACTGGTAGAACTTGACTTCTGGAGAGCTCGTGCCAATAACTTGGAGTGCATCTTCGAACAGGTCAGTGCATTCGATTCTTACAAATGAGGTTTCTAAGTAGCGGGGACCTGAGGTAATTACAGAGTTTAAAATTGCAGCTCTTTTTTTTTTTTTACTTCTCTGCTGATTCAAATCCTCTTTAAATTTCAAGATAAATTTACTTGGACACATATCTAGGGTTTGAGACAGCAGTAATCCATTCTTCCTATATATCAAGTGAAGAAAGTGAATCAAAGTTCTAAGTTTTTTTTTTTTAGAAAAAAAAATCTCAACTTGCTCCTTTATTACCCGTGTAGCTCCATGATGTTAAAGTTCGAAGAATGGCTGAACTGTTGGAAAAAACTCAAAGCAGCTACTTTCCAGCCTTCAAGAAAATCTTTAAAGATGTTGTTGCTGGTAAGTAAATGTTGGCCACAGTTGCAAATTTGTTGATAACTCTAACAAAACCACTGTGTTTCAATTTTTACAATGCGTAGTTCTCAGTACTTTTTATGTTATACTGGCATGGTGCTTAGTAATTTTGTTTGTTGTTTTTCTTAGCCCTTGAAGAAGCCAGAGACATCAACATTTACTTGAAGCCATTGCGTCGCCTACTTGATGACATGGAGCAGTTTGACTTTTCAGAGTTGGATAGGATCATTCCTGCCATTCTACACACAGTTGGTCTTATCTGGGCCAATTCCAAGTACTACTGTAGAGCTCCAAGAATGATTGTTCTTTTGCAAGAGCTCTGCAACATGCTGATTGAAATGGTAAGTGACTTTGAAAATGTATTTTGTTACAAGTGCATGCCTGATCCCAAAGTCTATAAATCTGTTTCTCTGCAAATTACAATTTGATTTTGTATTTCAACATTTTTACCTCTTGCATGTTAATTTTGAAAAGGGTTAGACATAAATAATGTCATTATTTTGTAATTTTTTTAAAATTATCAATTTTTTGTGTAGGCAAGAACATACTTGGATCCTGCAGAAATCTTCAAATCAGAAGCAGAAGAAGCTTATGAGAAAACCCAGAAGGCAATTGAAATCTGTTCATTCTTCAAGGAGACCTTTGAAGATGTCAGAGGAAACATCCAAAAATTCTTTAAGGAGGGGCAAGAAGTTAAACAGTGGGAATTTGCCAACGAACTAGTGTTTACCAGAATGGATCAGTTTATTTTGAGATTGAAAACTGTTGAGGTTAGTACACCTATAGAGAACATGATGTCTCTGACAGAATGCTGACTTTGAAATCTGATGATCCTAGTGTCAAGCCTTGGCTTGTTGTTGTTGTTGTTGTTAAGTTGTTATTATAATGTGTGGTGTGATGTTTTATTTTTCCTGTATCAAGGATCTCTTTGCCACCACTATGGAATTTTCCAAGCTGGAGAAGGTAGAGTTGGGTGGTATCAAGGGAAAGATGCTCAGCCATCAAGTTGTGGAGATCTTCTCAGAATTTAATGATATTTTTGCTGTGTTTGGTAACCGAACTTATGATGGCTTAGATGCAACCAACAGGGTAAGTTTGAGGTGTGTTGTAATGTTGGAATGGATTTACAGAGATAAATATATACAGCATAGCTTGCCAGTTTTCTGAACCTAGGCAAAGGAAATAAAAAATACCATAAACTCCAAGCTATGTAGCACTTACAGTTTCTGCAAAGTAGAATGTTATTAAGATCATGGTCTACATTTTTGTGGACTACTTATTCTTTTACTTCTCTGTAGGAGTTTGTTGATGACTACAATGAGTTCAGAGAAAGAATAGCTGACCTGGATAGAAGACTTGCTTCCATTGTGTGCCAAGGATTTGATGACTGTGCCAGTACAGAGGCTGCATTGAAGGTATGAAGCAAAGTACGGTTGGATCTTACATCAGTTTCTTCAAGAATTTGAGACTGGACAGTTTAGTTGGGTATCTTAAATTTATAACAGTAAAGTACAGTGTGTGAATGTGTGTGTATGTTTCTCAGCTGTGCTCAAAATGTCAGTGTAATAGCCCAAGGCTGTTGGATTTTGGGATTGGCTACTAGGTAGTTAAATCTAATTCCAGGGATATGGGAATGCACAATTATCATTTTAGTAATGGTACAATGTACAGCGTCATATTCAAATTTTCAATCTGTAAACTGAAAATTTTGAATTCTCGTCAAACCTCCTAGCTTCTGGACTGTTTTGGTTCTTTGCTCGACCGTCAGCTCATTCATGCAGACTTTGAATACAAGTATCCCATCTTGCTGAAGATGTATGAAGAAGAACTGGATGAAGCTAAGATTATCTTTGATCAGCAAATGATGACAGTAAATGAGGATGGGACACCACCAATAAACAAGAATATGCCTCTTGTTGCTGGAGCCCTCAAATGGTCACAAGAACTCAGAGAAAGAATCACTAAACCAATGCATGCACTTAAGCTTTCAGTCAATCATGGGTAAGCTCAGTTAAGAACTCAGGGAAAGAATCACTAAACCATTGCATGCACTTAAGCTTTCAGTCAATCATGGGTAAGCTCAGTTAAGAACTCAGGGAAAGAATCACTAAACCAATGCATGCACTTAAGCTTTCAGTCAATCATGGGTAAGCTCAGTTAAGTTTGACTAACTTTGCAATTACCATCAATTTCTTCCAGTCTTGCATGACAATCCTCATGTCAGTTCATAAAATGAAAGACTGTCATTTTTACATGGTTCGTACAATCTTAAAAAGGTCTTGAATTTTAATGGTCGTCTTGAAAAGTCCTTGAATTTGGTTAAGTCCTTGAAAAGTACTTGATTTCTTTAGTAGGTCATGAAAAGTCCTTGAAATTTAGCAACTTCTGTGCGCCTTATCACTCTTCTGATAAATTAAATGACTTTGCTATGGAAAATTTGTCCACTAGTAACTACCAAAAAGTGAAAATGGTTAGTATAAAACGTGAGTGGTACATGAATCAAAGTTGGATCTGTGCCTCAATTTCATGCGCAAGGCCTCCCATGTGGGGTAGTCCGCCATTTGCTTTTGATTTAAGGGGCAACAGAAACATGTAGTGGTTTGGATATGTTTTGGTCAGTGAATTTTTCATTTCCCTTTGTTTTCAATTTAATAGAGCGATGGGCAATTGTGTATTCAATCGTAAATGGTTTAGATTTATGAATGAAACTTAGTCCTTGAAAACCATTTTTTGTCCTTGAAAAGTTCTTGAAAAGTCCTAGAATTTTGTTTGTCTGAAGTTGTACGAACCATTTTTTTATTTTAGTGTTGATCTAGGTACCTTTTAATCTTTAAACACATATCAAAGTTATTTTCTTCTGATTTCCTTAATGCATAATCTACCTTCTTTTTACTTCAGTCTGTCATTTTCTTAGCATATTCTTTCTTCAAAACTTGAAAAATGGCAATTTTGTTTCCTGTAGTTCATTGTAGAACTATAAAAAAACTCTTTTTGGTAACTTAAGGCATAATAGCTATGGCATTCTTCTTTCACTTTTCATAGCACTGACAATTCTTCCCCTTGATGGAATTGATTTCTATTGCTTAGGCTGGCATTTCCCTATGATAGTGTCCTTCAATGGTCTTCAATGTACTTTTGTATATTTAATTATTGTTTTTGTTTTTAGGAGTGTGTTATATCATCTTTAGTTGTCAGTATTTCCTCAGCCCTATTTCTTTCTTTTCTTCTCACTGTTTCTTACTTACTTCTCTTCCAAGACCAGATAGTGTTTTTCCTATCATTCATGGTTTGGAAAGGTAATATGACACTTCCATGCTCTTTTTTTTTTAAACAAGAACTGCTCTAAAATTACTCAAACATGTATCTCTTCATTGTCTTTCACTCTGCTCTGCTCTGCTCCATGGCTGGAATGTTTTGTCATTTTTTGTGATAACACGATGTCATCACATGGGACAACTTTCCACTTGTACATCCTCAGCATCATTATGATCCTTGCTACTCACAGTTTTCATCAGGAATTGCACACATGGGAAGAATAGTGTGGGCTTCTTTTACCGCTCTGTTTTATTGTTTGTCTCTGTGGTTTTCTCTCTTCTCTGTAGAATTTGATTAATTTTTTCTACTGAAATGTTATACTATGCAAATATTTCTTTGTGCAACTCCAAGCATGGTAGATGGTAGATCCATTTCTTGGTATTTTGAGTGTCAAGCCTATGGGTAATTTCTTAATCTGGAAGATAGAGGTGTCTTCCCATACAAGCCAAGACTTTCATCTTTACTAGCCTCTTTGAATTGCGTATGTTTTACTCTCATTGCAAAGACATCCTTTTATTCTGTTTATTGTGTAACCAGAATGCAATTGGTTTTGCAGTACTCTAGAGACTGCCGAGGCTATGGTGATCTTCAACAAATTTGATGAGATGGCCAAGCTGCTGAACACGTGAGTATTTTGTGTGCATGGTCTGTCTTTACTTGTGCACTTTTGTGACATGATCTCAAAATTATACCATTCTATACCAATTTCTAAACCACCCTAGACCATTTTTTTTCTTAGCACAAGCCTGACCCTCCACAAAGCATCTTACTAATGAATGTCATGAGTTACAGGAAGTCACTTATGAATTACTCACTATCTAACACATAAGATTCAAGCCCCTTGACACAGATTATGTCTTTCACAGGTATGAAGAAAAGGTGTATGCTGATTGGACGCAAGATGTTGGTTCCATTTCACAAGGGAATCTGGACAAGCCACTTATTATTAGAGATCCAAATACCAAGCTTATCAAAGTGAACTTTGATCCACAGGTCTGATTTTAATCTAAGAAATGAGATAAGTCTAGAGTTAACGTCGCTCGATCAAAATGTGCTGTCTTCCTTATTTCAAGCAGAAATCTCTCTTAGCTTTCATACAGAGGCAGTGTATTTCATTTCAGCCTACTGAAAATTGTTTAATTGCACACGTATGTTAAAATTTTAACCTGGTGTTCCATATCTTTCGGTACTTTAGGCAGAAATTCTGTTAAATCGAGTGCTAGTTAAAGGACGCTTGGACAAGATGTACTTCCATAGTAACCTCTGAGTTTAGGAGCTCCGTTGCTGTTTATGCATTTATAACCTTAAGTTTGTCGTACGCAGTCCGGCCTCATCAATCTTCTGCAACTCTTGCCAATTCATTTTCTTTCTTTGTTCAGTTTTAAGTTTTTGTCTTCACATTTTCATCGTTCCTTGTTTTGTCCAATCTGACCATAGGCTTTTTCTCGGCACTCGAAAAACGAATCGATGTGACGTTAGTTTGGTCGTTGATCAACGTTTCACTTCTCGTCGCGATTTTAATACATGTATTAGTGAGGCGTGAGTAGTCCAGTGGTCAGTGCGCTGGACTCTGGGTTAAACGGCCCGGGTTCAAGTCCTGGCTGGGGCTTCACGTTGAGTCCTTAAGCAAGACACTTCACTCACATTGTTTCGTCTTCTCGGATAGGACGTAAAGCCGGAGGTCCCGTCTCTTGAAGGGTAGGGGGTAAAAGACGTTAATTTCCCACGCACGAAATTACTGTGTGCTGGATGTCCTTCCCCTGGGTGGGTTGGGTGGGAAAACAGCTGGTCTACATCAGCTTATACAGTTGCCAATAAATTCAACCTGCTTGAACAAATAAACATGATGATGATGATGATATCAGTATGCAAAGACGTGTTGAGAACAGAGAAAGCTTATCGACTAGAGCAACCGATGTTTCGTCATCACTGAAACTCTTATGTCTAATTTGTAAGAAAACATGTGGCATTCAGAGGGAAGATTTCCAATCGCATCTTATTTTTTGGGTGAGGAAGACGTGAGTATGTTCACCCAGCTTATTTTATCTCCCAATGTAGTTAGTTGCTGTTCTTCGTGAAGTGAGGTATCTGGAAACTGCGCAAAACGAAACCCTTGAGAGCATTCCTGAAAGTGCAACAAACATGTATTCACGGAATGAAACATTCCACAAGTTTTTGTCAAACCTAGACCTGACTGTGGCGTGGTACAACAAAGTCAGAGAAACACTTCTTGATGTTGAATTTCCTCTGGTGGAAGGACAGTTACAGGAAATAGACGGTCAACTGCAACAAGCTGAGACAACTTTGAACTGGAATAGTGAAGGTGTGATAAATCTTTCGAGTTAAACTTCATATATTAAGTATTGATTTATTGACAGTTTCAGTTTGACAATTACTAAGCTTCCACGGCCGTTTGATGCTTGTGTGAAATAAATTTTTAACGAGAGAAAATAATCTGAGAGTGACGTGGTGATCTGAAATTGACGTGGTGATCTGAGATTGACGTGGTGACGTGATTGCATCTCTGCTATGAACACACAATGTGAAAATCAGTGTTCAAATATGAATTTTAGTACAGAATGACCCACTGAGTTTTCATAACTTTCAGTTCTTTATCGAGTGTGTTTGACATAATCCCATTTTGCATAAGTTTCTAAATCCGGCGGCACTGTTGTTTCGCGTTAAGCTTTTTCTTTTCTTTCCTTTTAACAAACAGGGGCTTGGGAATATATCGAGAAGACAAGAGAAATGGTGCATGACTTGGAGAAACGTGTACAAGCTGCTAAAAACAATGTGGAGAGTATGGGTCAGTTGATGACCAAATGGTGTGAAGCTCCCTTGTACGAGAGGAAGGAAGGCAAAAAGGAGGGTTTACTCAACATAGAGGTACGAACAGAAAATACTCGTTGCTTCTCTTGATAATTTTGTGGGTGGCTCAGTATTCAAGTTCAAGGTAGTTTTATTGTAGCTGAGTGTGTAACAGGGGCGAGACAAGTTCGGTAAAGAACTGTGATCGATGATTGCGAGTGACTTATTAAGCAGACGTTATCATCATGCACAGTCAAGTGAGGTTCAAACAATTCGCTTTGTTACTACAGTCTGTGGCACGATGAAAAAGCTTTTAGTTATCGATCCTTTGATGGCGTTCCACTGGGATTTTAGTTAGTGCAACTTTCCGTTTGGCATTGCGTTCTGCTTCAAAACAAGAAACACTGGTTCTCATGAGTTACGTTAGTTTTGGAATCCTATAGAATGATCTTCAGCTTTTTTCGCACCCGCCGAGTACGAAAATTAGTGTCTGAAATAATTTAGCGTAAAACCTCCTATTTCTACTGAATAACTTTAAGAATGTTTTTTTTTTTAACGTGAACAACCGAGAAGATAGCAATTTTGCAAGACACACACAAAGAAAACAATTTTTCTCTCTTCGCAGGACAGCGAAGCAAACCTTAATAAACGGTACACTTTGATCCAGCAAGCAGGAGAGAAAATCCATGAGCTGATGAAGGTACTTTGTCAGATTCATTAACCACTGTTTGTTATTGTTTTCGATGCCCTATTTTCCTCTAAGAAAGCAAATGACCTTATTGTCGAGTTCAAGGTGGAGGGGGAGGGGGTGATACACGAAGAACGCCGTAAAGTACATGTACGTTGTTCATCATTGATTTATTTCCATTAAGCTTATATAGTCGACTTAATTACTTTATTGCTGTTATGTTTTAGAATAACCTCGAACTTTTCAAAGCGGATGCATCATCCGACATTTGGCGAGCGTATGTGGACTATCTAGATGACATGGTCCTTGACGGCTTTTTTAACTGCATTCACTGCTCACTGAACTATCTTCTGGAAAACACAGATTCTAAACACAATACAACAGGACTGTTTGAGGCAAAACTTGAACTGCAACAGCCTGAAATGGTGTTTATACCATCACTTGATTTCGGTGTTTCAGACGGCTTTTATGAACTTGTGGAAGGAATTGTTAATAATGTGTACAAGTTGGCTTCACTTGTCAAGAGGCTGGCTGAACATAATGGCTCAGAACACTACCAGGTAAAAGATACAATTAGAAGTTAAAAGGAGGAATGACTTAATGTACCTTTCTGATGGTAGGGTGAGTTGTGGTTATTATTCATTTTCGTGTACTAAAATATATAGGCTGCAAATGGACATCAGATCTTTAATTTCTTGGCAAGATCACATCCACATAGTATCATCATTTTAAACATAAATGAGACTTGGATTAATACCAAAGAAAAAGGCGGTCCTTCTGAATACGTTTTCTCGTTTGGGTTTCGTTGGCTTTCTTAAATTTCTCATTACATCAAAGTATGTTTAATCGATATCCAAGATAAAAAACAGCACTATGAATGAAAGGAAAAGAAAGGAAAATAGGTTCCAAAGAAAATATGATGGCTTGCGAAGCAAAATAGGAATTGGTTCTTTTTCAAATTTCTATTGAAAGCTCGAGTTTTATTTTACTGCAGTTTAAATACAAAATTCTTTATTTTTTGTCATTTGTTTGGTGTTACCAGAGTGTCTTTCTGTCAAAATTTATTCCATTTCACCCTCGGACAGTGAAGCGAATCGCGACGGTGCTGATGCCGAGTCTCCTTTTCCGTTGTTTTTCTCTTTTTCTGCCTCATTTAAGAACTCTAACCCAAGGGAATAGGTCGGAAAATTATCCTCGTTTTGGGACTGGTGGACCGAGTCTCTGTTTGTATCCATTATTGTCGCGAAATATATTATTTTCCCCCCGCGCTAACAATGGCCGCTCGCGCAGAAAGAAAAAAATTTCTGACGAAGCGATTTGCTCACGCTATCAACGTGCACCGTCGGGATTTTGAGCACGCTTACGTATACTGAATTTGATTGCGCGGCTCTGCTAGCTATGTTATAGTTATTGATATTTTACAAGTGCTGTAATAGGACGGCGGACTATAATTGGGGGCGACTTGATCCACTGTTCAGTTGTGCATAAACAAAAATATTCGTGAAACGAAGCTTGAACTTGGTGTTTTCGCACAGGCATCACCCTCTAGTAGGTAGTTCATGTATCTTTTTTTCTTTACAGAACGATGTTGAAGACATGCTTGACTTGTCCGAGATGCGCCAAGACCTGATGGACCGTGTAACAGGCATCATGAATAAGGCGAATGAATACCGCAGTTCTTTTGATGCTTTTGCGTACCTATGGCTTGACGATCGGAATGAATTTATGAGACAATTCTTGCTGTATAATCACGTTTTGACAGCTGAGGAGATTGAAGCCCACGCCGAAGAAGGTGTCCCTGAGAGTCCGCCAACATTAGGACAATTTAAAGAACAGGTATAGACACGCCATTAAGAATGACAAACAGATATCGTCTGGAAAACGTCTTATGTGGTAACGATACTCATGTTCGAGACGTGTACCAATTGGAAATGATGCATGACATAATTCATTATAACTTTTCTTTTACTGAATATTTGTTAGCCATGTTCTTAGATGGCGTAAAATGTTGACGCATGATTTTCTGGAAACTGAGAATTTTGAAATCAATAAATTTTTTGAATTGATAGTCCTAGGATATAATTATTTTGGTGGAATAATCTCTGGGAGATTATTGTGGAGGTTGAGTTTACTTTACTTGGCTATCAGGCTCAAGTTTTACTCTGAAAAAAAAAACTGATCTTGTTGCTTATAGATCGACACATACGAAAAGCTTTATGCCGAGGTGGACGAAGTAGAGGGAACAAAGAGCTTTGACACGTGGTTTCGTGTGGACGCCAAGCCTTTTAAACAAGCTCTGTTGAATATCATTAAGAGATGGAGTTACATGTTCAAACAACATCTTATCGATCATGTCACAAACAGGTAAATCAAGTTTGAGAAAATTCCGCCAGACATACCGTGAGTCTATGAAAGTAACGATATAAAAGTTTCCGTGTTTTGTGAAAAGAGCTAATTGAAGGCGCTAGACCTTCAAAGGATGTGACATTGTTACAGTAGATTCTACCTCGGTCTGTTAGATTACTTGTTCACGTTACTTTGTTTTCTTTCTCGCAGCCTAAATGACTTAGCAGAGTTCATCAAGGTGGCAGATGTTGGTCTGACGCAGCCTGTGGAGGAGGGAGATTACAATGGTTTAGTGGCTGTCATGGGACACTTGATGGCTGTCAAGGACAGGCAGACAGTCACTGATGAAATGTTTGAACCACTGAAGCAGACTATTGAACTCCTTAAGACATACGGACAAGAAATGCCCGAGGAAGTACACATGCAGCTTCAGGTAACAAGAAATACCAGGACAGAAGTATTTAAAGGCTGTAATCAAATGGAAGCTGTCTTTCTGTTTAATAGGATTTTTTTTAGGTAAACATGGAAGTGATACTTTGCAAACCTTTGAGTATGTTTATCAACAGGAGCTTCCAGAGCAGTGGAACAACTCCAAGAAGATCGCAGTAACAGTCAAACAGCAAGTGGCGCCTCTGCAGGCGTCTGAGGTCGCCATCATCCGAAGGAAATGTGGACAGTTTGATGTAAGGGACATAGTGCTTCCTTTAAGCTTTACCTTGCGATTTTTGCCCCGTGACTAAATTTCTGTTGCTTTTTCCTTCGTTGGTCCAGATCAAACAGCATGAATTTAGAGAGGACTTCAGGAAAACAGCGCCGTTCCAGTTTGACTCCAAGAATTACTACGACCGCCTGGATAAGGTCAGTAACGAGAACTTGTAGCCAAAGACACTTTTCGCAAGCTTGTTGATTTTCTTTTGCAATGAAATGATGAAGTGATCCTTGCATTGATGTTTTGCAATTTATGTTATTGCAAAAGGAATACCTTCATAAACTGACCTCGTTGGTATAATCTCCAATTTACCGAATATCTGTGGTATTTGCAGGCAAACTTCCAGATCTGTGCTATGGAGGAGGAAATGAACGCTCTCTCTGAATCCGCTGGCCTATTTGAGGTCAACTTCCCAGACTACAAACAACTTCGTGCTTGCCGTCGTGAAGTGTCACTCCTCAAACAACTTTGGGACATGATTGAAGTTGTTCTTAGCAGTATTGATGAGTGGAAGTTTACGCTATGGGCGGATATCAACGTGGAAAACATGGAGATGGAGTGTAAAAGGTTTGTTAAGGAGATTCGAAGTCTTGATAAAGAAATGCGGGCCTGGGACGCCTTCACAGGACTGGACTCTACTGTCAAGAACATGGTGACGTCATTAAGGGCTGTGGGAGAGTTACAGAATCCGGCCATCAGGGACCGTCATTGGCAACAGCTCATGCAGGCAACCAAAGTAAGTACTACAAATTTGTGTATGTAGGAGTGGTCATTCCGCGAAAAAAAAAGAACACACTCAGGCTTAGAAGGGTACGATTTTATTTTTTTGAAAACATGTAGAATTGGAACCAATAAACATTTTATCACTGGTTGCTGTGCAAAAGTTAGAATTAAAAAACTAAAACTCAGAATTTTTTCCCGTGGTTTTACTTCATTTTGACCATGGACCATGAAAACATGTTGTTGAGCACAAACTCTAAAAATTGATTGTTCAATTAGATTATTATGAAACGAAAAGAAGTCAACCAGTCATCACTGACTCGTTCCAAGATTACTCCAGTTTTGTGAAAATTTGATCAAAGTTACATGATTTCTTGTTTTGTACAGGTCAAATTCATCATGAATGACGACACAAACTTAGCTGATCTCTTGGCCCTGAACCTGCATAACTTTGAAGATGAAGTCCGTGGAATTGTCGACAAGGCCTCAAAAGAACTGGGAATGGAGAAAGTTTTGAAAGAGTTGGATGTCACGTGGTCACAGATGAATTTTGAATATGAGAGCCACGTGAGAACTGGTATTCCGCTGCTGAAATCAAGCGAAGAACTTATCGAAACTCTTGAAGATAATCAGGTAAAGAAATCATCATAAAGTTTTGCCTGAAAGGTTTCGAAACCATTAATTAGATTCCCAAAGCTGAACTGTTATTTATCATTTTGTTTTTTTCACTAATGCAGTGTGACAAGTAAGTGTACGTTAATTTGTTTCGCCCAGGTTCAACTTCAAAATCTCATCACATCCAAGTACATTGGACATTTCTTGGAGGAAGTCTCCTTGTGGCAGAAGAAGCTGTCCGTGTCAGACTCTGTCATTTCCATTTGGTTTGAAGTTCAAAGAACTTGGTCTCACTTGGAGAGTATTTTCATCGGATCTGAGGATATTCGTAACCAGCTGCCAGAGGACTCCAAGAGATTCGACGGAATTGATATTGATTTTAAGGTTGGTGAAAGAAGGGACTGCAAATCCTTGGGGCTTATTTTACATTTGGACCAAGTAGGAATTAAGAACAATTACACTAACGCCTGGCTTTACCATTGCTTTAGGAACTGATGAAGGAAGCCGCTGAAATCCCAAACGTTGTGAATTGTTGTAACAGAGAGGGACTCTACGAAAAGCTGGAAAACCTACAAGAAAGGTTCGTTTTGCTCTTAAGCTTGATTCAGATTTCGTTTATGGTAAGAATCATCTTTAACACAACTGCTATTGGCTTCACTTGACTTCTTTGATTTGTCTCTGACTACCATGGTCCGGTTACCTGAAGTTATTAAGCTCATCAAAGACCAGAAATGACCTATGTGTTTGTTGGTTTATAGATTGTCGCTGTGTGAGAAAGCCCTCGCCGAGTATCTGGAGACCAAACGGCTTGCTTTCCCACGATTTTACTTCGTATCTTCAGCTGACTTATTGGATATTCTTTCCAAGGGCAACCAGCCAATTGAGGTAAGGTTTTTAAGGCAAACTCAGTCACTGTCAGTAAAGTTCAGAGCAAGGGAAAATATCTCAACGCGTCTATAAAAGCTCAGAAAAAATAAAGGTTAAAAATTTGAAGCGCGGTTAAACGCCGCTGACCAAGTTGTGATTTTAATTTTGCATCTGATTGGTTTACAGGGTGGCGCGAGTTTTCCGGACCAATCAGAGAGAAATAGAGCAAAAACATTGCAGTGCCGGATTAATTTAGAGCGCTCTTCGATTGAGTATCGTAAAACCAAACCAAATTACATTGGACAATTAGTAAAAAGGAAAATAGCTCTAAGAGCCAGTAATTACAACTCAATGTAAAACCAAACTGCCTAAAGTACGGGAATATGCGGCGATTAAGTCTTCATTGGTTTTGCACCTCATTGGTTGAGAGAGAGAGAGAGGCGCGAGTTTCCAGACCAATCACTGAACGACACAAAGAAAAACCAATGTAATGCTAAATTACTTTCGATACTCGTTCTAAAATTGCCATAGACAGACAAATGAGAATTACTCTCTTTACCTTACACAGACTGGCAACTTTATCACTGTTGACAAATGAGAATTACTCTCTTTACCTTATACAGACTAGTAACTTTATTACTGTTGACATATATTAAGCCTTTGCTCGCTGTTCTGTTTGACAGGTCAGTCGTCATTTATCCAAGCTGTTTGATAACATGGCGAAACTGAAGTTTGTCGATGATGAAGATGGTAACCCGACTAAGGAAGCGGTTGGAATGTACAGTAAGGAAGGAGAATATGTGGACTTCGACCAGCCTTGTGACTGTTCTGGACAGGTACAAATATTATTTAGTTCTTATTAACCGAGTAGGAGGTCTTTATGGGAGAATCTTGACCGAGGTGGCCACTACAGACCGAACGCAGTGAGGTCTGTACCAGCGACCGAGGTTAAGATTCTCCCATACAGACCGACCTAGCTCGGTTAATAAGATGTTCATTATATGGCTGAGTCTTATGTGCTAATTTTTTATATTCTTTGTACCTTTTTTTCTGGACCGGTCTAGATGGGAAAATCCAGATCGCTTTCAATATTGATTTCAGCCAATCAAATTCGTGAATTCGGTAGTTCCCAGTCCTTGTGAGACACAGCCATATAATATTTCAAGCTATTGCTGTGTAACAGTATGTTAATATCTCACTGATTACCCTTTTTACTTTTAGTTATTGCTGTGTAAGAGTATTGTAACATTTCGCTGATTACCCTTTTGAGGATCGTGGTAAAAAAAATTGAATTCTTGGGTTTTGGCGTCTGGGTTTTTTTCTATATTGATAGGTTCGTCAATTTTATCTCATTTTATCTCATTTTATCTCTTCATTGGTTTTGAACTTTTGTAGGCGTTGTACACTCATAACCAGCAAAACTGTAAGCTTCGTAGCGACCTGAGTTTTGAAAATTCCTCCTTTTGTATCTTATATTTTTATACAAAATGTTCTGCAAGATTTCCTCTGCATTTACAAGGAAGGCTGACACCTTAACTCCAACATAAAAAAATAGCGTAAATTTTGCTGACTATACTAAGCGATTTGTGCCTTCGTGACGTCGGATCGTCCCGTCGAGGGTAGTCCTGAGGGTAGTCCTGAGGGTAGTCCTGAGGGTAGTCCTGAGGGTAGTCCTGAGGGTAGTCCTGAGAAGGAGCTTTGTTGGTAACAGTTAACCTCTACTAACTATGGAGTAACTGATGTTTCGACGAATACAGCGAAAATCATCATTAGGGTCAAGATTTGTGAATATTTGATCTATTGTAGGTGGAAGCTTGGTTGAACCGTGTTATGGACGCTATGCGCGCCACAGTCCGTCACGAGCTGTCAGAAGCTGTGGTGTCATATGAAGAGAAGCCTCGAGATCAGTGGCTCTTTGACTACCCAGCTCAGGTGGCCCTCTGTGGCACTCAAATCTGGTGGACCACAGAAGTTGTTCTAGCATTTGGAAGGCTGGAAGAAGGATACGAGAATGCACTGAAGGATTATTACAAGAAACAGGTACTGGTCTTTAAGTTGCAGAACTTTTAATATAGTATTTATTTAAACCGGTTGAATTAGATTGACAAGTTTGATATATAGACATCCTATTTGGTATTGTCAATTACATGAAAGTCCGGTAAATTAGCGGAGACAAAAAAATTAGTGTGGAAATGGTCTTTGACTTTTTTACATCTTACAGGTTTCACAACTTACAACATTGATCAACATGTTGATCGGCGACTTGACAAAAGGCGATCGTCAGAAAATTATGACCATCTGTACAATTGATGTGCACGCCCGAGATGTGGTGGCCAAGTTAATTCATCAGAAGGTGGAGAACGCTCAAGCTTTCTTGTGGCTTAGCCAACTCAGACATCGCTTTGATGATTCAGTCTCTCACTGCTTCGCTAACATTTGTGATGCACAGTTCAAGTATTCCTATGAATATCTTGGAAACACGCCTCGATTGGTGATCACACCCTTGACTGACAGGTAAACGTCGCAGAGGAAAGCTGTCGTGTAGTTCTTAAGCTGTGAACCTTGTAATAATTGTCATAGTCTTTTGGACTTACCCTACTATGCGTCACTTCTACCACAGTAGTATTTGTTGCTTAGAAAATAAACGAAAAAATCAATGGCTGCTGAGAGAGTAGTCCACGCAAGAACAGTTTATTGGTAGAATAAGCATTTCTTGTTACTTATCTTTTCGTTAAAGTTTCATTATTGGCAAAATACAATTTCATATTGCTTGAATGTTAATTATCTTAACGAAGGCTCAGTTTCGAATTGAAACAAGAGAGTCTTAAAATTTGCCTCTACAAAGTTTAGAAAATGGCATTTGAACGAAGTACTTTCTGTATGTTTTTCTTCGAAAGAAACTTATAAATTTTTTTTTTCGTCAGATGTTACATCACTCTGACCCAGTCGCTTCATCTAACTATGAGCGGCGCGCCTGCCGGTCCTGCGGGAACTGGTAAAACCGAGACCACTAAGGATCTGGGACGAGCTCTTGGAATCATGGTGTACGTGTTCAACTGTTCTGAACAGATGGACTACAAGGTATGCATTGCAGTGCAATATTGATAGCATTCCAGTTTAACTAAGGACTGAAGGGTAACTCAAGAAACCTTTTCCCTTGACAGTCCATTGGCAACATTTACAAAGGTTTGGCACAGACAGGAGCCTGGGGCTGTTTTGACGAGTTCAACCGCATCTCAGTTGAGGTGCTGTCCGTGGTCGCAGTTCAAGTAAAATCCATCCAGGACGCTATCAAAGACAAGAAGAAAAGGTTCATCTTCCAGGGAGAGGAGATCGTTTTGGTTCCTACTGTTGGTTTATTCATTACCATGAATCCTGGATACGCCGGAAGAACTGAGCTGCCTGAAAATCTCAAAGCATTGTTCCGGTTAGTGATCAGAACTCATTTTCCTCAATGGGTTACCTACATTTTGAATATTTCTCCCAGGGAGAGTCTGTTCTTAGATCTGGGGTGATACATAAAATTGTGACGAGCACGGTAATATATTTGCATGTTTTGTATTTCAGGCCGTGTGCTATGGTCGTTCCTGACTTTGAACTGATCTGCGAAATCATGTTGGTGGCTGAAGGATTTGTTGAGGCCCGAGGGTTGGCTCGAAAGTTCATCACCCTCTACTCACTCTGTAAAGAATTGTTATCTAAACAGGTAGGACCTTGGTTAGGGAAAGCACAGATATTGCTTTTAAATCTTTCGCTGGTGATGAAATATTTGATTTTACAAGCTGCAGTCAGAGTATCACTAGCATATTTGGTGATTTATTTGTTGCTTGCTCTTGCTTGTACATCCATTTTTGTTTGTTTGTTTTTTTTTTCTGAGGCTAATTAAGAGCAAAATCAAAACCATTAGTAAGTTGGCGATTGTGCATGCGCAGCCACGCGCTTGTGCCATTTTGTGATTGGACTAATGTGATTCACGATTCTTGCTATTTTTTGATGGCTTTTTTTCCTTGTGGTTTTTAGGACCATTACGATTGGGGTCTCCGTGCTATTAAATCAGTTTTGGTTGTCGCTGGTTCTCTGAAGCGAAGCGACAGGGATCGCCCTGAGGATCAGGTGCTGATGCGTGCGTTGCGCGACTTCAATATCCCCAAGATTGTCACGGATGATGTTCCCGTCTTCATGGGATTAATTGGTGACCTCTTCCCAGCATTGGATGTACCAAGAAAGCGCGATATGGACTTTGAAGCGTTAGTGAAAAAGTCAGCGCTGGTAAGACACGTAATTCACAGGTCAAATTATTTCCAATTGGGGAAACAAAGTCTCATTTTGGGGAAGAATTGTAGGGTTCTTGGGGTAAACAAGACTGGTGAAGAGGGAAAGGAGTGTCACTCTTTCTCAAAGAATCGAAAAGAATAATACTTTTGGCAAATTGTGTTGTTATTTTTCCCTTCTAAGATATGATCGTTTTTCTCGTAGACCGTAGATTTCTCTGTCTGCTAGTCCTAAGAATTTAATGCTCGATTTAAAGAAAACATTTTTGTGGTAATCATTTCCTCTATTCTCATTATTTGTATGCTTGATTGATTGCGTGAAAATTCAAAGAGGATTTGCCTCTCCAATCAACTTATAAGAGTGTTGTCAGCGCTTGTTCTTTAAATTTTGTAAACACGAGAAGGCTATAGAAGGTGAAACATAGGCTAAGAAGTGAACATTGTGCAAACAATCTTGGAATATCAAATATTCATGCTATTTCCAGGATCTTAAACTGCAAACAGAAGACAGCTTTATCCTCAAGATTGTACAGCTCGAGGAGCTACTAGCAGTAAGGCATTCTGTGTTTGTTCTCGGTCCAGCGGGTACAGGCAAAACACAGGTTATTAAAACCCTGAATAAGACTTACCAAAACCAGAAGAGGAAGCCAATGCTATATGATATCAACCCTAAAGCTGTCACTGCAGACGAGTTGTTCGGATTCATTAATCCCGCAACCAGAGAGTGGAAAGACGGTGAGTATTATCAAAGTTACTGGGCAGGTGTTGCACACCTAAAAAAAAATCTCCTTTGTCAACTTCTAAATTTTCCTCTGTAGGTATTTTAAAAATGGCGCACAATCAACACCATTGTTTACCTATTTCAAAACTAGCGCTCGTTGTACGATACAAAAACCTTAAACAAACTATCGAGTGTCTAAGGCAGAAAAGTCATGAAGGAAGCCGAAGAGAAAAGAAAACAATAACGGTCTTACATTGTCACCCGCTGACAAGTTTGATATTTCCCCACCAAAACAAGTTTGCCAGTAGATATCAGGTGACTTAAGGCGATTTTAAATCATTCGAGACCGACGATGAATGTACAAATGTTTTTTTTTTTTTTTTCAGGTTTGTTTTCGACCATTATGCGTGATTTGGCTTCAATCAACAATGACAGTCCTAAATGGATCGTACTTGACGGTACAAATTTTTTTTTTTTTTTTTTCAGGTTTGTTTTCGACCATTATGCGTGATTTGGCTTCAATCAACAATGACAGTCCTAAATGGATCGTACTTGACGGAGACATTGATCCTATGTGGATCGAGTCTTTGAACACTGTCATGGACGACAACAAGGTAATCTTTGAAAATGAAAAAGTCGTAAATGGGAAAGAAAGGTTTTCAAGGAGACTATGTGAAGATATTGTTTGGCAGTTGTCACAATATGCCAGTTTTTTACTTCTTAAAGATTTGGTTAAACCGGCCGTAGGTTAGGTGCGCAGGCAATATGCTTAAAATTTTTCCTTTTGATATCTCTTCAGGTTTTGACTTTAGCCAGTAATGAGCGTGTTCCTCTCACCCCGTCGATGAGATTATTGTTTGAAATCGGTCATTTAAAGACAGCCACTCCTGCTACTGTGTCCCGCGCTGGTATCCTCTTTCTCAACTACGCTGATGTTGGATGGAATCCGTAAGTATTTGAGATGGTAGTGTACATTAAGCATAAGCCTCTAAAGAAAAATGCAAAGCAGAAGAAAAATAAGAAGGAAAAAAAAAAAAAATGGTGAACGCTACTTGTTGGTTTCTTCTTGAAGTGACATCTTTGTAGGCATAGTTTGCCTTTTGTTATTTTCGTTTATTGTTTTGATGCAAATCTCTCGTGAAGACAATGAATACTACGGGTGTTGGTCGAAGTATTGTCTTTTTTACCAAACCTGTATCATGCACAGCGAAGAAATAAACATACCGAAGTTGAAAGTAGTATAAAAACTCTCTAATATGCAATGATACATTTGAGGCTAAAAATGAGGAAGGCCTTCAAAGCAGCCCCACTTTAACTTTTCTACGCCCAAAATTTTAAATTCCTTTTCGAAGAATCTTTCTTACTGTTTGGCTGCCATACTCTTCCTCTCAAAATAAACTTTTTTCGTCCTATTTCAGATATGTCTCCAGCTGGATTGATACTCGCGAAGTTCAGTCAGAGAAAGCCAACCTGCAAATCCTGTTTGACAAGTACGTCCCCATCTGCCTGGACACACTGCGCGTGCGCTTCAAGAAAATCACGCCCGTTCCTGACATCACCATGGTGACCACATTATGCTACCTTCTGGAGTGTCTATTGAACCCCACCAACACCCCACCCGATTGCAACAAGGAACTGTACGAATTGTACTTTGTGTTCGCGGCCGTGTGGGCTTTTGGCGGAGCCATGTTTCAAGATCAGGTGTGTATCATTAACAGCTTCACTTAGAGCTGTGGGATATGGATAGTCGTGAAATTTAATTAACTTGTAGAGAATGAATCGTGATCCTTCAAACCTATGAGTAATATTTCGTTTTCTCTTCTTAGCTCGTTGATTATCGAGTGGAATTCTCCAAGTGGTGGGTGACTGAATTCAAGACCATCAAGTTTCCCTCTGCTGGTACTGTCTTTGATTATTTCATTGACTCCGAGACCAAGAAATTCGTGCCATGGACAGAAAAAGTTCCCAAGTTCGAGCTTGACCCTGAGATGCCCTTGCAGGTTTGATTCATTTTGTTATCTAGCAAAGATTCGTAATTGTCGACCTTTAAAATTGGTTTGCAAACGTTTTAACAAGGCTGTAGTATAATTCCTATATAAATCATGGTTTAGTTTAATAAGAGTGTAAAGGGTATTACAGGGATGTAGCGGTCGGGCTTGAAAAACCAACAAAACTGTGTCCTAAACAAGGTTGTGCTCTTAGAAGAATAATTGGCGGGTGCCTAACGGCTTTTGACTCAGAAGCCAGGGATGCTTGGCTCTCAGAAATCTCTTAGAGGAAAAGTCACTTAAGTCGCCCAAAGAAAACAGGTTATCGCCTGTAGTAACTGGTCTCAGTCATAGTAGCGTTTTGGTAATACCTGTAGCTTCCTGTAGCCAGTTAACAAAAATTAGAATCTCGTTGGCTGGCTGACCAGGAAGTGTGAATTTAGCGATTGATTTGTAAATGAACTAAATCTTTTCACAATCACTACAACTTGTTAAAGGCTCTATCAATCTCCTCACTTTGTTTTGCGACGAGATAATTTGATCGCGAACTTTCTTTGTTGTTCCCAGGCTGTGCTCGTGCATACTCAGGAAACCATTCGAGTTCGTTACTTCATGGATCTGCTGATGGAAAACCGCAGACCTATCATGCTTGTAGGAAGTGCGGGCACGGGTAAGACCGTGTTAGTCGGCGACAAATTCGCAGCAATGGATCCTGACAACGTGATGGTTACAAACGTACCGTTCAACTACTACACAACATCAGCCATGTTACAGTCCGTTTTGGAAAAGCCACTGGAAAAGAAAGCTGGACGAAATTATGGGCCACCGGGAACCAAGAAACTGATTTACTTTATCGACGACATGAACATGCCTATGGTACGTTGTTAAAGTGAACGTGGTCATGTCATGTTTTTATCTGAGAGTTTTAACTACATTTGGTAACAAAAATGTGTTTCGTGCATAGCCACTTGGAGACGAGAAATGTCTGTTTTGAACAATCTGAGTCGGTGCAGATTCTGGGCAATGTACTTGGGTACTTTTCGCTAACACACACGTTACTGCACTTTTCTGATTGGTCGCCGTGTTTCCCGTACTTTTAACCGGTTTCATTCTAAGAAACGCCTTCTTTCCTCACCATGAGCTACTTTTTCCCGCCGCGCCACGCTTTCCTTGGTGAGCTATTTTTCCCGTGCATGTCACTTGCTACTGCTCGTGTCTAGAAATGTTTATTTTGTATTTGTTTTGTTTGTTTCCTGTTAAAAAAATTATGATTTTTGTTTTTGAGACTGTTACTTTCGTTTCAATCCAGGTGGACACTTATGGTACAGTACAGCCGCACACCCTCATCAGACAACATTTGGACTACAGTCATTGGTACGACAGAGCAAAGCTGTCTCTTAAGGAAGTTCACAATTGTCAGTATGTTGCCTGTATGAATCCCACCGCAGGAAGCTTCACCATCAACCCTCGTCTACAGGTCTGTAACAAATGAGATGAGATCTCAACTGTCTTATTTCCATTTTAGAGATTTTCGTTGTTTGTGTATCTCACCAAACATATGAAAATGTTGGATTTCACCTTCGTAATTCAACGCACCTTCGAATCGCTCTCTAACCGAGAAGTAGAAAGAAAAGGCCCTACTTTTTGGACAATTCAAGCACAATTCATGCCATTTTAGAAATGAAAATGTTTAAATTACGGCTTTAAACCTTAAAAGAACCGATTGAAACTAAAGCCTTAATGAAGGTCTGATGGAAAGTCGGCCTGACTTTTGATGTTTACGTTATGTTCTCCGCAGCGCCACTTTGCAGTGTTCGCAATCAGTTTCCCGGGACTAGATGCCCTGAAGACCATTTACCTAAGCATCTTGAACGGGCACATCAGTGCTTTGGGCCTCCCTCAAGCGGTACAGAAGAATGCTGAGAAACTTGTCGACGCAGCTTTAGCCATGAACCAGAAGGTGTGTTGTATTCTATCAACCCTATAACCAAACTCTCTGAAGTGTTTTCGTAGATTTCAATGCTCGTGGTTGAAACAGTCTACAAGTGACATATTATTACTGAAAGAATCGTTTTAAATATCCTTTGTAATTTTTCTGTTTCAGTAGAAAACAATCTAAGAAGTTGACATTGGGTTAAAAAGAACCAAATTTTAGTAAAGTTTTTCAGCTTTACTAGCTTGCTTATTCTATGTGCATTAAAGAACTTTAAAATAGACTTCAACTCAGATCTGGTAAGTGGGTTTGTGTACAAAACTAAGGGAAACTTTACTTATTGTTATTATTATTTTTTTTTTTTTTCACACAGGTCACTTCAACCTTCCTTCCTACGGCTGTAAAATTCCACTACGTTTTCAACCTGCGAGACTTGTCCAACATCTTCCAGGTTTGTCAATACCACTTTTTGTCTCTTTTGTTTCTTGCAGTCGAGCTGTGTCATGATTGATTACGTTTTCTTTTTTGTAGGGTATCCTGTTTTCCACAGCTGAATGTGTCAAGACGCCAATGGATCTTGTTAGACTGTGGATGCACGAGTGTGATCGAGTTTACAGAGACAAACTAGTGGAAGACAAAGATATGGAGAACTAGGACAGAATTCAGCAAGATATCACAAAGAAGACATTCGAGGTTTGTTTTTGTACTTCTAGTTTGCTCTGCTCCTGGTAATTTTAGATCAGTCCAAATAGAGATGTAAACGTTCTTTTTCACATGGAACTTGGGTTTCTAATGGTCAACGAGATTTGTCAAGATTTTTTCCAATGAATAATCTGCTGTTTAACACAGCTATGGAATTCGATCCTAATGCGTGCTTTCTTCTAGAAAAGTTTATGACAACTCTCAGGTAATTTTGCTGTGTTGCTGCTTTTCACATAGGATTTCGATGAAGAGGCCCTATACTCCAAGCCAAACATGTTCTGCCATTTTGCAAGTGGTATAGGGGAACCTAAGTACCTCGCAGTACAAGGCTGGGAGTCACTGAATAAACTGTTAACGGAAGCATTGGAGAATTACAATGAAGTGAACGCGGTTATGAACCTTGTGCTTTTTGACGACGCTATGCAGCATGTGTAAGTTGAAAAAGCCGAAAAGATTTGCCTTGGCTTTTCGCCTGTTGTGCTTTCGATTCCAAGGGACCATTTTGTCACAAGTCAGGGTGCGCCGTGAGATGATAGAGCTGCAAAACAATCTCGTTTTCCCGCGATTTCCACAAGAATTATGAAATTCCAGCCAAAAACAGCACTCACACAGTTTACTATTCCCCCGCTTGTTTTACTTATGGGGGTCTTAATAATAATAATGATTTAATATTTATATTGCGCAAATTAACATGTGGATATGATCAAATGCGCATCACAACACTTTTCGGGGGACTTTGGCCGGACTGCATCAGCAGTTTACAAACAATCGAAGGAAACTTATTTGAAGATGCCCCCTTCCCCCAGTTCCCAGTAAACAGGCCAGACCACATCACAGTAATCTCGTTTAACGTCTCCTGCCTAACCAAATTAACTAATTGATAGATGCAGGAGACGGAACCTACGGTTTATTCGTCCTTATCAGAGAAGACTAGAATGTCTATCCATTTCTCGATATTATAGAAAGGTACTGCATTCTCCTCTGTTATTTTGAGACCTTGAGTGTTGGTCCGGCCGGGGCTGGAGCCATCGACCTCGACTTCCCGCACAACAATCCAGCGCTCTAACCAATTGAGCTAACCGGGAGGCGGTCTTCCATCGCTTTCATCTGTTTCGTGACATTTTCTTTCCCTTTTCTCTCTATTTTATTCGTCCAATTTCTAGTCCTATTTTACTCTCTGTGATAAGCAACTTCCTTGATTACGATGTCCTTCATTGGGCTTTCTCTAGCTTCTCGTCTTATTTCCACGCATTTATCCTGGCCCTAAAGGTTTTTGTTTCTGGACTTACACTGCACTAAGTGAAATTATTTCAAAGTAAGGCTCTCTAGGAGCTCTGACAGTTTTTCCGAAATATTTCTTGTTCTTACCATTTCGTCTGTGTTGTGTTACAGTTGTCGTATCAACCGTATTCTGGAGTCCCCTCGCGGTAACGCCTTGTTAGTGGGTGTAGGTGGCAGTGGTAAACAGAGTTTGGCTCGTCTTGCCGCGTTTATCAGTGCTTTAGAAGTGTTCCAAATTACGCTGAGGAAAGGATACGGCATCCCTGACCTCAAGGTGTGTATAATTATCTGATCTTGTGAATGATCAGAACCGTGTTTGTTAATCTTTTTCTCGCATTTGAAAGAGAGATTTTTCGTGACTGAATTGCGTTAGTTTAACAATGACAAACGCCCCTAGCATCACCGCAGCATCCACTTTGTTAACGTTGTCTTATCTCCAGGTTCTGGTAACTGAAATGAAAGGAGATAATTGAAGATTGTTTCAAAGAATTTGTTGTAATTTTTCTTAATCGTGCCAGATTCCTAATGGTTTTTGTTTTTCCTTTGTTAACTTTTTTAGCTCGACTTAGCAAACTTGTGTACCAAGGCAGGACTGAAGAACATCGGCACTGTATTTTTATTGACGGACGCGCAAGTGCCAGAGGAGAACTTCTTGGTGTTAATTAATGATTTGCTGGCGTCTGGGGAGATTCCGGGTCTTTTTGCGGACGATGAAGTCGAGAATATCATCTCTGGAGTCAGGAATGAAGTGAAAGGAGCTGGGCTACAAGACACCAGGGAAAACTGTTGGATGTTTTTTATCGAGCGAGTGCGAAGAAATCTCAAGGTTGTCCTGTGTTTCTCTCCCGTGGGCTCCACCCTGCGTGTAAGGAGTCGTAAGTTCCCGGCTGTAACAAACTGCACAGCTATTGACTGGTTCCACGAATGGCCTCAGGAGGCTTTAGTGTCTGTGAGCAAGAGGTTCATTGATGACTTAGAGCAGCTTGAGGTAGATCGACAACACAGCAATATTTTTCTATAATACACTCCTAATAATGGTTAAAACTTGTTAAACAATCCTCAACAAATGACAGGGATTTAGAATGTTATGGAAAAGAGGATGAAAAATCGTTCATTTTAATGTTCGTGAACTTCGAGTTTCCCCCACTTTTTTCGATTGAAGCCATGTGCAACAACTGTTTTGTTCTCTAACAATTCTTCTAGTTGACATAATAGCAGCAGTGAGTAGTAAAACTTTAGCTACATGTATCAAACCTTTTTATCGTTCTTCATTACGAAAATCTCATTCGCAATGCAGTCCACAGTTAAATGCTACAGAGAAAAAACATTGGTATGAAATAAGTGAAGTTTTACGAATTTCTGTAACTGAGCGAAGCCTGCAAATCTTAACTTGCTTGTTTGTTTGTTTATTTTTTTCGTTTAGAATGACGTGAAGCCTTCTGTGGCAGAGTTTATGTCATTTGTGCACACCAGCGTGAACCAAGAGAGTCAGTTGTATTTGGCAAATGAAAGGCGTTACAACTACACCACCCCAAAGAGCTTCTTGGAACAGGTATGCTCCCACTAAAAGTATTTGGGCATTTCTCCAAAACTGCAAACATTTATAGCTAAGGTGCAAGTGATAAATTTATTTGTCTAGTCTCCCAAAGAAATTTGGTTTAATGGCATGTATCGAAAATCACTCGAAATTTGTAAGAAACGTTATTATAATAATATAATAATAATAATAACAACTTTATTTATCCTCGAATTTCAAGGTAGCATGCAAGTGCTAATATCTCCGAGCAACAAATAAACTTAAACTAAATAAATTCAAATAATGATGGTTTTTGAGGAGAGGGGAAAACCGGAGTACCCGGGGAAAAACCTCTCGGAGCAGAGTAGAGAACCAACAAACTCAATCCACATATGAC